AAGCCAAAAGGTAATCAAGCTTTTTTCCTTTCAGTTTGATTGTATGTATCTAGGAGAAACACATGCTAGAACTAAAATCTAACTCTGATCCACCAGTCTGTGAGCAATGTTTAGGTCTAAAAAAGATGTTCCATTTAGGTGACATAATTGTCAAGTACTGATAGCGCCTACCACAGATGGGGAGCTGCTATGGCCGTAGCTCCTATCAGCTGCAGCTTTCGGTGCTGCTTCCTCATACTCATTGCCAGGATTGCCTCTGCTGACACACCACAGTTGTGTTGTTACTGCTGCTTTTCAGACTCTGAGTTTGGAGCAAGAGCTCACATCGGAGCACTTATCTGGTTCCCTTCTTGAGAAAAGGTCTAGCATGTGTTGTCAGTATCTGTTCATTTCTTAGAGGTTTTCCAAAGAATTATGGTTAAGTTCCTCTATCTATCCATAATCTCCTTGAGCTGCCAGAAACTTTTTGGCACTCCCCCAGAAATATGCTTCCACAAGTTCTGCTAGGATTCTCAGAGCAGATTTGCCTACCTAGAGCAGAATATCAGAAGATGAGCTGAAGCTGTACAGCTAATGTGGAAGTAGTGTACCACTGGCTCCTAAATATGGAAGTACACCAGTGCTAAAGACTCTGCAACACAAGTTGAAGACAGCTCAGCTTTTGATCATACCTTTCAGGGAATATTTCCCAACTTTTCCTAAAGCCATGTTGCCATACAGGAAAGAATACAAAATTCAATGTATGTAGAAGAACATGAAAATAGGAATGGGGTTCTCTGTTTCAGCAATTTGCCTGTGTGGGAAGAAGGACTTTTGGATTCTGACATCTATAGTTAGGCTCTTGTATTTTCTATGGACCTGTCATTAATTAAAATGCACACAGTAAAGGGGAGGTAGCAGTATTTAAATTAATTTTTAAATGTGAAGTTTCAACATTACTGTGCTTACCATGAAAAAAACTTATTTCAATACACAGTAGCAAAGGAAGAACAAAGCTGAAAAAAATACGTGTATTTTAAGTTTTGCTAAAAGTATCTCCAGATATGTTCTAATGGCTTAGAATTTGAAATCTCATGTAGACTACAGAAATGTAAGGCCATGAAATGGTCAGTTCTTTGATGGAATTTTTGCTTGGAGTTTTAGCATACTCTTAATAGTTCTCAAAAAAAAAAAAAAAAGGCACTTTCAAGGGGCTTAGATGGACACTTCATAGAAGGCTTGGTTTCTCATTATCCTTTTCTGTCTTGCTCTTTCCATGCAGACAGGAAGATAATGCAGAATGAAGATTACATCATTCTACTAATTAATACTACTACTGTAGTATTGCATGAAAAAAAAGCTTTATTGCCTGTATTTGTTCAATTCAGAAAGCAAAGGTAAAGCAGTGATCAATAGAATTTCTAAGCTTAACCCAGCCATATGATATTCAGAAAGAGTTCCTCAGGCAAATCTGTTCTAAATGAAAATTTTGTGCAGACAAGGGTAGCATAATTAGTATGCTGCACATGTACCTATAAAATAATTTAATACTTAGAATTGATGAATCAGAATTCTTAATCATAAATCTCTCAGCAATATCTATACATATAGTGTTTTATTTGAAGAAGATATGTTTATTTTTTTTCTGATGTGGGTATTAATTTGGAATTGAAATGCTGTAAAACATGAAAACTATGATCTCAGTAGGATTACCAAAAACTTACTAAAAACTTATTCAAAACACTCCCAAATGCCTGAAGAAAATGAAAGTGAACCTTCTTGTTAACTTGTGCACATTTTTGATCCCTTTACCTATCCTTCAGCAACAAATTTGCAAAATGAGGATACAAAGTGATGTGCATTACAGGTTAGAATATTCCTATGTAGGCTGATTTTGAAACCTTTATTTACAAGCCCAGTGTCACACCAAAAAGAAAAACAATTTTAATGACTCAAATTCAATACTGATTTTTCAAAATGCCAATTATAATCCATAAGACATGGGCATAATTTCTACTTGTCTGAGAAGTATTTTAAGTTCTTCTAGATCACTAATCCTACAGTCCTATAAACTTGGATAGTGTTTAGGAAAATATGAATTTGTTAGGCTTTATTTTTATTTTTTCATTTTATAACCTATACTGTCAAGAATGCTTTTAAATAAAAAAAAAAATTCTTAGTTGCTTTTCTTTTGATATCTCATTAAGTGATTTACACCATTGGGCTATTTTCAAACAAACATTTGAAGTGGCTAAAGCTCTGTAATATGTAATGTAATACATTTTTCCCCGAATATATTTTCTTTTCATCTCTACTTCATGACTTCATTTTGGTTTTTTTTGTTTCATACTGACAATCTGAACGCATTCAGACAGTTGTTGGGTAACTTGGGTCTGATTCATGGGCAGGGAATAAACTTGCAAATTCCAAGTCATAATTCTGGCTTAAAACAGTTACAAAAAATATATCCTTATTTTTTGTCCTTTTATATATAAGTATAAAAAATGTATCTGATATTTTGTATTAATCTTTATTGTTTAGATGTCGAGTCTGTAGGACCTGTTTCCACAGTTAAAAATTATTGTTTTTTTGTTCAGCCATTTAATTACGACAACGCTTTCATATTTTGTGTCTCAACTGGACTGCCTAAGCATTTTTTATGATTATTTAAAACTTGAACTTTTCTTTTTGAGTCACGCACATAATTTTTAATCACTAACTGTAGCTCATGCAAAAAAAGTAACAGCTTGCTACTTGTATGAGTCAGAATCTAAACAGAGCTATTTAAAAATCATTTGGAAAATGTGTTATTAGCTAATTAGCATAATGTAGTTATAGAGAAGATATACAATCTAACATGTTTCACTGAATCAGTTCATAAACAAAAACTGCAATTAGCTACTATTTCCTTTGCATTATTATTTTCCTTGAGATCCTATCATATGGCCAAGTCAACCTAACAGTGTTGTCAAACAGATTTCAGATCTGAAATGCCATGCTGCAGTTAGTGCACACCTTTTATTTTTCATGTATTACATTCCAACACTGTCTACTGAAACATTTGCACCAAATTTATGTTTCATGCCTTAATAACTTTATAATTACTTATATACATAAGAAAAGATATCTTATTCTAGCTTGCTCTTACTATTTCCAATTAAATTGCCTAGATTTAAAATCTGAAACAGTAAAACTGAGCAAGAAAAAAATATTTGTTTTTTCCAGACTCAATGTTGAGTTGAATTTGTGTTGAATTAAAAAAACACATTTAAACAGGAAAATCAACTGACTTTTTATGGCTATATTAATTAGTTGTTAGAATCTTGCTCCAAAACTGATTAATTGCAACCATTTGATCATCACATGCATGCCATGTGAAGTAATAAAATACAACAGTCCATAACTCAGGCATGACTGGTTTCTGAAATTTTCATTCATCTGTTAACTTTAGTGTATATTACAAAGCTTGGCCACATCCTCCATGAATTCAGCAGAGATTGCAAGGTGTATGTGTTCCTCTAGAATCCCTAAGCTCACCAGTAAAACAGTAAGGTCTGAGAGATTTCAGGGATCATTTCTTGACATTCATAGACTATCTCTACATCCTAGTTACACTATGTTTCCTAGGCCTCTAGAGAAAAAGAATGAAAGGCTCTTAGCCACCATGTAAAATTTCCCTGATCTACGCAGAGTTCTCATATAGTCACATAAGAAGCAGCACAGAAACCAGGATAGGAAAATGAAAGAAAAGATACTACATTATAAATGTAAAATAATTTTGGATTTTGAGAAGAAAGTTCATAACAGTGTAAAAAAGTGATACCATCTGCATTCAGGGTGAATATCATATTTATTTCCAAGAAAAAGGACAAATTTATATTTTAAAAAATCTCGAGGGCATATGACTGATGTATTAGTGATACTTAATATGCTACTGGTGAGGCCACAGTTTAACTGATTTTAGACTACAGAAGCATCAGGAACATCAAACAACATTCATCTGAAGCTTTGTAAAGCAAAAAGCAGTATTTTTCAAAAAATGTAGTATGATTGTAAAGCTATTTTAGAGGAGAATACTACCTGTCACTGGGCATCTGTGGTTATTAAACTGTTCCCAACATGTCATCTTTTGCAACTCTGGCTTATGAAGACAGAAAATAATTAGGGTTTTTTTTTACCAGAGTTCCCAAGTATTTCATCTTGCAAATATCTAGATTTCCTGGTCTTGTGCCTTGTGTTCAGTGACAGTGCTACAGATGGTCTGGGTAACCTCACAGACAATCTTCTAACTGAGATCTTATCCTGATTCTTCAGATTCCTTCCCAAGGCACATGCTAATTGTTTTTTATGACTGCCTTTCAATATTTTCTAGTAGACAGACAACATCCTGCACTAAGCTGATCGCAGTAAAAATGAAATCAAAGATTCATTTGCCATGTTGTTTAGGTTAAGTTTTAAGATGAAAAGATGAAAACTTAGACATTAGTAGAAATGGACATTATAAACAAGAAGAAAAATGCTGAATGTACATCCAATTAAAATTAAAAAAATGCACTTAATTAAAAAAAATATATAAAAAAACCCCCAGGGCAAATAGGCAAAGGAAAATACCAACAGCTGCTGAGGAGGACTCATAATTGTAAACTGAACTGAGATGAAAGGACTGGGGGAATGTTAAGGTAAACTCCAAGACTAGTATTTAATGCTCATCATCATCAGGGATTTGCATCGTTTAACAGCACTGAAATAAATTAACTTCATTGTGAAGAAGGAAGATCTCATTTATCAGTGTGTATTCTAATCCTGGAATTACCTGACCTTCAACTTTGGTCTGCATGGTCATGTCCTAGCTCAGACAGTTCCACAGGATTTTGGTTTGCTGATATAAAAGACCAATTGGACAGTTCCTTGGCAAAATCATGGCTATTTTTATGTCACTTCAAACAGTATTCCCTCAAGGGGAGCTACAGAACTCTCACTGATAATGCACTAGTACTTGTCAAAACCATCCTTAAACTTACTGTCATCCAAAAGGCCATCTTCCTCCAAGACAAAAAAGACTGGATCTGAGGAGATGAATATGTAAATCACCTTATTAGTAACATACCAGTTATAGTAAACATCCCCAAACTATATACAAGTAGTTCATAAAAATGTTACTATAGTTTTTCAGGGATATTTCAAAGTTTCAGCTTAGACATACCCCCAGTTTTACATCTTTCACAGCACAGAAACATTATCTCCAAAAGGAATCATCTTGTAGGTTTAGTCTGCCAACCTAACCACACAATGTATTTTTTTCATAGTCTCTTTTTGAGGAATGGATTTTAAATTATTTACTGAGTAAGCCTATGTTGTGCAGATGACTGGGAACATAGACTCCCCTAGCAATTTCCATCAAAATGCAAGGAAACACTGCTTTCTCACCCAGTTCCTGTATAATTACCACTTCATTTGGCATCATTGTAATAATTATCACAGTAATTAAAAAACTGGAATTTGTATGAAGAATCCATGCACCTAATCCTATAAAATTATCACCAATCCAAATGAAACATACCAGACAAACTAGTTTCCAGGTAAAACTGTGTTTTGAAGATTCTCATGATACCATGAGAATATAAATACATTCCCCAAGACAGAGACATCATTTTTCAAAATACCACTTGAACACGATGTAAAAATTTATATGAAAGTAACACCAAACTCTGCTTGGTCCCTAGAAACTCTTACGTCCTAGAAAATCATTAAAATTATTAATTCTGTTCTGAAAGATGATCAGAAGGTCATACTTTGCACCTCAAGTTATCAAAATTAGGAAGCCAGTCTCCATCGATTTCCTTGTATAGGCAATGGAGAGAGGTTGTCCCCTGTGAGAATTCCTAACAGTTCTCTGAGATATAATCTGAAAGAATCTCTCTCCTACATTTGCAGTGCACAGAACATATGGAAACTGTCCTACTAAAGCAGGAACTATAAGTAGTAATTTTGTCATCAGATAGAATAGCCCACTTGCCTGTTTCTAGATAAGTAAATTATGTATGTTATCGAGAAATCATTGGTGGTGATGATTTTTAATTATTGGCTTATTTCACTTTTACCTGCAACCATGTTGCACGCTTACATTTCACTGGAAGGGTGCAGATGGGACACTGCTGCTACTCGTACTGTAATTGCTCTTCAGGAGCTCATTACCTCCAGGGGCAAGGAAAACCAATCTCAAAGCCCAACTTGTGACCCATGCCAGACTAGTATTATCTGGACTCATGGCTGCGAGTCTGCCTCACAAAAAGTTAATTTCAATGTGATCTCTCCAGCCCTTTGGATCCTGTGTTCCACTGGACTTGAGAATCGTGAGTTTCATATAAAACTGAAGATGTATTTGAAGAGGTGTTGGGGTTTAGGACTCTTCCTTTAGTTTCTTTCTCTCGGGGAATTTTCTCCCGTATGTGTTGCCAGGAGACAGTAAGGCCCAGGTACTTCAGAGAGACAAAAGAAGTTGCCAAGGTCCGGGGAGGAGGGCACTTAGCTGCACTCCTCTTATCTGAGGGCTTCTCTCAGAGGGCGGAGATACTGCAGGAGTTGGACTGGGGAAAATGGGGCTGGGGCAGGTGCTAGCTCCTTCTGGCTCACTCAGCATTTGGAAGGGAAAGAGGCCATAGTCGCTGTGGGAAGAATTCACCACTACTGAGGGTTCTGCTCCTGCTGCCTTCCACTGTGAGTGGAGATCTGCTCGTAAGAGCAGCCATTGCACTGGGACCTTATTAACACCCTACCTCACCAAACACAGGACCCTTCACCAACTGCTACATCTGTGGAGTTTCTGCTACCTTTGCTTGCTGCCCCGGGTGAGCCCGCCCTGCGGTGCCAGCCGCCGCTCAAGGTTCCTGCTGCAGGCCACCTTCGCGTTCAGCCCGCCCGCCATCACCGCCTGCTCCCCGAGCCGCGCCACA